GGTAGATTCTGACCAGATAATGAAGGATCTAGAGCAGGGGTGTAAGACACTGGGTCCAGCCCATGTTTCTCAGACCAACCCCATGCACCACATGCAGCACGTACAGCCAATCTGGCACATGGGCTGGACCCAGTGCCAGGGGCGCTGATGATGACAGGAGGTCACCCAAAGTGTGAGCAGTGCATGTGGCGCCCAGGCCTGCTGGACCAAACCTGCATGCTGGCTCCAAGGCTGGTCTGGACCAGGCTGTGACAGAGCCAGCATGCAGGGCTAGTCTGGCAGGGTGTCACATGCAGCACCAGCAATGCCAGGTCCACCCACACACTGCATACAGCAAGTGCCGGCCCTGCTCTGGGGTTTGTGGTACCTGCAGCACACAGGGTGGATCCAGCACCAGGGGCACTGCCCATGGTACACGGGGCCAAAACAGGGCATGCATTGCATACAATGTCCCACCAGGCTGGGCCTGCACACTGGCTCCAGCACACACAGATGGGCTAGGGCCTAATTCAGACCAGTCCAAGAACCAGCATGGAGGGCCAGTCCAGCAAGGTGCGGCATACAGCATGCGCACCGTGCTGGTCCCCGGGCTCCAAGCACTGTCCGCAGTGCTAGGTCCAGCCCGTGCACAGCCTGCAGCACAAGCCCCAGTGCACGCTGCCCATGACACAGGTGACCAACTCTGGGAGTACTCTGAATACGGCGCCCTGACGGACTGACCCTACCTGCCAGCTCCAGCATGACCCAATCCATCCTGTACCCTGGTCTAGAGACGTTTATCTGGCCTTGTGGGCTGAAAGACTGACATCCTTGCTTTAGATCAGGGGTGTCAAATTCACCTAATCCTTTGAGCCAGATCTGGACCTCAGGGTTCTTTGGGAACCGGAATGATGGGGCCAGCAGCAGCAATGCCAGTAGCAGTGTGAGCGGCATCAGTGAGTTGTAGGAGGTTAATGCAGCCATCACTTGCCCTCTGCTGCTGATGACATAGGTCCAACTGGGCTCTCTGGGCCCCAAATTCCAGTGGTGGGTCCAGCCCTACTCCCAAATTCCTGGGCCCTCTAGGAGCCCTACAGACCAGATGGCATGGCTCCGCAAGCTATGTCCAACACCTGCGACCTGAAGTGATGTTTTGAGCAAAAGATTAGGAAAATTGCAAAAAGAACTGTATTTCCTACAAGAAATGTTCTAAATTAAAAACTCCAAACAATACACAGACACAGATTTATTACTGAAACATCTCAAAAATATCTTCTTTCCCTTTATCAACTGTACTTGAACAATCCTGTAGACCCTTAAAAATATTATTATAGTAATACCATGACACCATTTTCCCTAGCTTTTGCACTTTTATGCATCCAATTAATCACATTCTGAATAATGTAATCTGAACTTCTTATCATTAACCCCCCCCCTTCTTTCATAGCAAAGTAGTTTAAATTGGTAAATGAATTTTTTGTGAATTTCCAAAAAAGGGGGGGGAGGGGAGAGGAAAAAAAAGAAAAAAGTTGCCTTTTGATTGAAACAGCCCAAAATGTTTTGTTCCAAAGATAATTTAGAGAATGCTAGCTAGACTGGTTTATTTCTTAAATCTTAAAAGGAGAAAATTGGAAATTATCATCACATTACATGCATGTGCGTACACTCACATATGCAAATCATCCTCAACATATTTGATGTTATATAGCACATTGGTTCAACAAGTGCTTTCCAGACCACATTCACTTCACTTTATAAGCCATAAATGCCAGTGAATCTCCCTCATTTAAATATTTTTACAACGTCCTGTTGCTTTCTCACATGCCATTGAACAATTTCTGAAACTTACTAAACTAAAACTTTCCAGAGAAACTAAAACTACTGATGAATGCAGCTGGCTTCAGACGTTTGTTCAACATGATTGAAAACAAGCAAATTTTATATTATTTAACCCACTACCTTTCCAGCAGCATAAATACCACTTCAGAACAACAAAGACAAATCCAAAGCATTTACATGAAATATCTGTTTGTTTCCTTCTGCTTTTCTAACCAACCTTTCCTTTTCTGAATTGCAAGTTTGATGTCCTGAATGTGTATTAGACTGAGGCATAGTTACTGCTCTGCAGACAGCAGGGAGTGAGATTTACTGTAAATTGTTTCACTTAAACTAAGAGTTTTCATCAAGCACAGTAGGATCTGAATCTACATGCTAACTGGCAAACATTTAACATTAAAGATCTTTGTTAACCAATCCCCTATGGTTTCCATTTATAAATTGTTTATGCGCAGAATTCCCAAATTTGACTTTACACAGCACTAAGTTTCATAAATATACTTACTTTTAAAACAGTATTCTGCTAATCAAGAAGACCAAAAAGCATGTCCAAAACAGAATCAAAGCCTCTGGTAAAAAGATGCCATTCATTACACAGCCTTTTTCCAGAGCACAGTATTTGAAACAAGGCAAAGAAAGTGAGAATCCAGAAGACTGCCTGTTTACACACAGCAGAAATCTGTTTCAGCAATTTATTACTACTTGGGGCAAACACATTTCTCTTTGTTTTCCGTGCAATGGGATTAGCTGCAGAAGAGCTTTGTGGCCTTTAATTAAATTTGAACACCACAAAGCAAAAATGTAACTCTTGGACAGGAAAATCTTTAAAGTGCAGTTCAAGTTTTCCAGACAAGCGCAGGCAAAATATCATGCAGGTTCTCTGTGTACATTTTTGGTCAATGTTCATTTTGTTTCTTTTCTTTACCATGGAAGACCTGTTCAGAGGATGGAAATGAGTATGATTTGCCATGGAGATCTCCACAACTCAAAACAAAGGTTAAAGGGGCAATTGGCCCTCTTCTCATTATCCCAAGAAAGATTCAGACAGAGTCCTTATTAGAAGGATGAGAATTCAGGGGGTGGGAAGAAGCCAATGACAGGCTGGGATGGTTTAGAAAGGGTGGGGGTGAAGAGAGCAGGAAGCTGAGTCCTTGTTTGGGAAAAAGAAAAATGCATGCCAGTCTAGTGCAGAGAGGGAGGGGAGAGCAGAGCTCCTGCCAGTTAGGGCAAGTACTCAGCAAGGAGGGGAGAACCAGATTTTATGTTTTAGAAGTTAAAGGAGGAGATGGCCCAGGCCTGCAGGAAAATTCCGCTAGCAAAGGATATTTTGGGGAGGAAGAATAATGAATTCCCTTGTAATCTAAGGACAGCAAGATTTCTGTTGATTTATGGCTCCGCACTGGTGGCCATGAGCTAGAGGACAAAAAATAGTAGTGTACATAGGCGTATCTCAGCTCCTGCAGGTTGTTAACTGGTGAGCATCCATCAGAATTGTACCGGGGGGGGAGGGGCGGGAATTGGAAGGGAATAATTAGGGGGAACATCATGCATGTCTCATATATACAACAAAGGTCACTTAAGTCTCTAGGAGAGCAGTTCTCGACCTTCTGGACTCAAGGCACCCCCTGACAGACTGAAGACCCCCCTGGGAAAACAATGGCTCTTTGCTTCCACTCCTTTTTATACTACAGACAAATAGATTTTTTCTTCTCTTACAAAGAACTCAGAAAGACCCCAGCAGGGCAGAATATTTTAGACACTGCAGATTCCCATTTGATACCTTTGGCTTACTTTGTGAATCACACTTGTACATGGTGCTAGCAGTGTGCAGCACCCCTGAGAGGATCTCAAGGCATAAGAACTGCCATTTACAGGGTCAGATCCTAGGTCCAGTCTCCTGTGCCCCACGGAGGCAGAGAGCGGATGCTGAAAGGGAGTGAACTGGGTCTGACCAGGTCCCCCTCTCGCTTGCAGCCTCTGGCATTTAAGGTCTAGGAAGGTCTGATTCAGAAACTGTATCCTGAACTCTCATGCTCAATAGCTACCCATGCCCCTTTCCTCCAAGAATGAGCCAATCCTTTTTCAAACCTGGCTAAATTCTCAGGTTTCAAAACATCTGGCAGCAATGAGTCCCACACCTGAGTGACAGACACCCTGCATGAAAAAGAGCTTCCTTTCCCTAGCGGTCAACTCGACACCTAATTAGCTTCATTTTGTGTCCCCCAGTTCTTGCATTGCTGAAGGGAGTAAACAGGAAATCAAATCCCCACTGATTTACTGTTTACTCCCTCTTTAGTTTTTCCCAAACCCTTATGTTGTCCCAACCCCCCCCCAACCAGGCATCTCTTCTCTACGCTGACCAGGCCTGGCCTCTTCAGTCTCTCCTCCCAGTGCTCCTGGCTAAGAAGCACAACTCCCACACCCAGCTGCAGTATGAATAGGGCATTAAAAGCTGAGTTTAAACCAAAGCAGACAAGCTTCTTTGGGAAGAATCACAGAATCATAAAAAATTATGCTGGTCACCTAGTCCAAGGCTTTGTTTAGCCAGGTCTTAAAAGCCTCCAAGGATGGAGAGAACATCCCCTCTCTGTGTAACCAGCTCCAGTGTTTCCCTACCCTTGTAGTGAGAATTTTTTTCCCCAAAACCTACCTTAAACTTCCCTTGCTGCAACTTGAGACCGTTGCTCCTTGTTCTGTCAGGGTAGATGCAATCTCTTTTATTAGACCAACTAAACAGTTGGAAAAATTGTTCCTTGCCAGCTTTTTGTCCCCAACTATTTAGGTGGTGTAATAAAAGAGATCACATCTACCCTGACAGAACAAGGTGCAACAGTCGCAAGTTGCCGCAAGAGAAATTTAAGTTCAATATCAGGAAAACCTACCCAAAAACCTAGTTTAAAGGAAGAGATTCTCCAATCTTTTCATCCCCCAAACCGTTCCCGGACTCCCCTGCCTTGCCAAGGTGGCAGACAAGGTTCTTTGAGTTGGTCTAACCAAAGAGATTGGATTTACCAAAAAGCGTGCTCTGCCTCTGTCCTTAGACCAATAGGGCTACAACCGAGACCCCTGCCAATGTGGCTGCACTTAGCGACCCAGGCACAACACACTGCTGCGGGTGGGTCTGACCCCCTCAGCCCGCTCGGATGGCAAGGGGAGCCGCCGGGAGGGCAGGGGGCTGCACTCACCGAGGTGCAGGGTGAGGTTGATGGTGCTGGGGTACTGCACCCCGGCCAGCATGGTCTGGCTCTGCCACCAGGTGGTGTCGGCCTGGTTGTTGTAGTCGGTGAGGAAGGCAGCACCGTGGCGCAGGTGGGGCTGGGCGGCGTCGCACAGGTGGCAGGACTTGGTGACCCCGGTGACGCCGGTCTGCACGCAGTACTCCTCGGCCGGCGAGCCGCACGTGTTGGTGGCCACCACGCTGCGGTTG